AGAAGTACAATCTTAAGTTAAACACATGAATATTTATTTGGAATGGGAAAGAAATTTAAATTATTAATTATAGAAGATGGCATATCATAAAATCCAGAAAAATAATATTAATAATTAACTGTCTGACATACTTTTTCTACAGTTTTTGGTCGCTTCGTGTCTTCATATGACAGCTCTTTGGCACTATCACATTCTGTACAGACAATGGAAAAGATAATTGTTTATTGAAATTGGTAATTTCAATAGAACCTCCTTTTTTAAATATAAATGGTCATGATGCATAAAGCACTCAACTTTACATACAAAAGACAGAGGCACAGTGCACATAACTGTAAACATAAGAATTCTGAATAATTCTATTTTCTGTGTCCCATAAAAAAAAGAAAAATGGTGTGGTGCATTTATAATTATATATGCTGAATTGAGTATATCCTTGATAGGAGAGAATTTCTGTTTTGACTAGGTGTCAATGAGGATTGAATCCTACATTTGAAATTTTACATATCTGATGATAGAAAAAATGTCAAACTAGCTTTTGACTTCTCCACTACCTTCCTATTTCTGGAGCTGGCCACTATAGGAGATGTTTACATCGCAATGTGTCTTTTGGTCCTGCACCTTCATGACACCATGCTTGGTGAGTTGACACCAAGGATGAAATAATTCCTAAAAGACATTTCTACACCAGGGAGCTAGCAATAATGTACTTCTACAGGGAAGTGCCTGTAAACCATATACATATATACCGCAGCACCCAAACTCTACGCACCCCTGATTTAATTTCCTGTTAGTTAGACCTCCAAAATGCATGTAATTCCTCCAAAGTCAGGCAACATAAAGGGAAGCTGAAAAAGGCAGGGTCCACTGTAGCCGGTTTGGCTCTCATATCAGTGTTTCTCTCTCTCTCTCTCTTTCTCCCTTTTTCTCCCCTTCTCTCTTTCTTTCTCTCCTCTTCCCCTCCATCTCCTCTCCTTCTCTTTCATTCTCTCTTAAAAAAATGAATGGTGCCCTAACCGGTTTGGCCCAGTGGATAGAGCATCGGCCTGTGGACTGAAGGGTCCCAGGTTCGATTCCGGTCAAGGGCATGTACCTTGGTTGTAGGCACATCCCCAGTAGGGGGTGTGCAGGAGGCAGCTGATCAATGTTTCTCTCTCATCGATGTTTCTAACTCTCTATCCCTCTCCCTTCCTCTCTGTAAAAAATCAATAAAATTTAAAAAAAAATGAATGGAAAATAGTATGCTCGGGTGAGAATTAACAACAACAAAAAAAGAATGTATGATGCTGGCAATGCATTATTATCTGCCCCTCCCAGGGCCAAGGAAGGGCCTGAGCAAGAGAGGACCTGAAACTTCAACTTCATTCTCTGGACAGCAAACTTCTTGTGAATCAAAGAGAAATACAGATTGGAGATGGTCTTTCCTCTTATGTTTTTAACATTACAACATGTTGTGTGTGCTTTTTTACTAGAAAAATTAATGTACTCAGCATATCTAAATTGTCCCTTTCCAGGCAGGGTTATTGACAACAGATGTTTCCATTACAGTATGTTTGCCTGGCAAGGCTCCCTATAGCAGTCATTCCTAGAAAATTGCTCACTCCCTTCCCTGTTCCATAACCTATTGATCGGTCGAGTGATATATCAATCTATCTTTTTTTAATTACAGAGTTGTAGATTGGAGTTTGTTGTTTCATTTAGCTTATGAAAGTAGGCAAGGGGTGTGGTGGAGATAGAGGAGCCCTCAAGAGATAGAAAAGACCACTACATCAGGCATCAGAGTTCTGCTCCCTGCTCAGCTTATAATTCGCTAAGTGACTTGAAAGGGAACTACTTTCCCTTCTGGCCTTTGAGCAACTCAGTAAGTCAATAAACATGTCGGGCAAAGTCAGTGGTTTCTAGGAGTCCAAGGGTTCTGCAGAGGTGTCTCAAGAGTGGTTCATCCCTCATTCTTGCTCTCTTCCTGTTTTATGTGCTACATTAGAGTTTGTTTCAAGATTTTTGTCTCAAAATGGTTGTACTGTGGGGGGGAAAAAGAAGGCCGTTTTTTATTTTATTTTTATTTTTTTAGAAAAGTTGTCTCAGATACTTGAAATGACCTGGGAAGCTTTTAACAGTTCTAATTCCATCATAGAGCTCAGAATTTGAATCTGTTCCACATTTCTTTTGAATCCTGCTGCATTGAAAGATATTATTCTACACCAGTGATAAGCAACCTTGTCTACACGTTAGGATCATTTGGGAACTTTTAAAAATGCTGACGCCTGGGTCCTACCATTGTGACTGTTATTTAATTGACCTGAGCATAGAGATGTTGAATAGCTCCTCAGAGATCTCTGATGGGCATCAGGATTGAGAACCCATAGTAGAAATAATCACTGAATTCTGACAAGTTCTAACAACCTGTGTATGAAAGAAAATGTAAAAGTGTGCTATCCATCTCCCCAGTCTCTTATAGATATTTATTGAACATGGCATTTCTGTTTTATAGCTAAGCTATGTAATGCTCTCACTGGTTGGGGCAAGTGTCAGAGGAAAGACAGCTGGTGTGGGGGGATACCTCTAGCTCCTGGACACTCATGTGTGAAGAACTCCTTGCTGTTCATCATACCCACAAGAATCAGGGACTGCTATTCTTGTCCTTATCCTGCCACATACCCTGTAGCCATGCACAAGTGGGTCAGCTTCTCTAGTCTTAAACCAGGTTATTCATAAAACTAGTTGGTTGGAATCAAAGAACATTTCAGATATGGTTCCAAGATTCTGTGATCATTTCCTTTATTTACAGAATATAATTTCATAGGGAATCAAGGCTTAGTTTCCTTCAGACTGATATGGCACTTTTTTTCCTCTTCTAATTGAACTTTGTAAAAGGGCCAGTAAGTGATGACTTTGTGTTCCTATGTTGTTGCAATACAGTCCTGACCTAGAGAATTGTAAGGAGCTGAGTTACTAAATAGAGATTTTCTTGCAGCATGAACCTCACAGCTGAGTTGGGAAACCAGTGCTTCGGGAGGCTCCAGTGGAAGTTTGCAAAGATACAAATAAGAACTTCCCTGGTGTTTGGCTTCCACTTTTGTGCACCCCCAAACAGCAGCAGATGTCATAGTGGATGGGAAATCATTCATTCATTCGTCATTTATACATTTATTTCTTCACTTATTCATTCCAGGCACATGTATTTAAACATATCCTCATACTAGGGCCTGGTTTCACTCTTAGGGTCATGTTCAGAAATAAGACAGACATCATAGAGACCTCTAGTGACTCTAAGTAAGAATTCGCTTGGTTTTTCAAGTGGAATGCCTCAAGGCCTTGAGTTCTGGGGGGGCGGGGAGAGGGGGTGATTTTACACATCCATTTTAATGATTATCTGAAAACCATAAAGTAATCATATTCTGAACTACCTGGAAAATGACCTAATAACCAAGGATGTGATTTTGGGGCCCACACTTTGTCACCAAAGTACACTTGGTCACTCTGGTATCTCATGTCACTAATTTAATTGCCGTTGAGTAAGATGAAAATAAACAGAGGTGGTTCTTATTCTTAGGAAATGAAGTGTGCCTACCTGAGGATCAAATGGAGTAAAAATCCCCAAGTAAAGGTTGTGTGGTAATTTGAACAGAGAAACTCAGTAGAGTCCCTGTTGTCACATGGCTCATGGCCAAAGAGGGATGATGTGCTCATCAGATGCTGCGCTGAAGTCCGTGGTACCACACTATGCACTTTAGTTTTAGCAAATCACCTTCCTTTGTAGTAGTCAGTTCTTTCCCATTGTGAATGATACATGTTGGTAGCTTTGTTTGGATTTAATTTTAAATTTTGGTGTGGTTTTATAATTTTATGGAAGTGATCATTTTACTCAGATTAGTGTTGGTACCTAATTAGTAGTGCTGGTATAAAGATAATTTGTGTCGACAGCAGGGACTTGGGAAAGCATCCTTACTTTAAAGGAGGTTGGCATATTACTTACTATTGGCAAATACTGTTCTGATTTAACTCACTCTACTATGATCACTGTTTAACTAGTTCACTTCTTCCATTAGCCTGCAAGCTCCTGGAAGACATGTTTACACTTTATTTGACTTTGAACCTCCTTTCTGTTTATTAAATAAATGAGTTAATTGATACCAATTAGAATGGTCTGACTCATAAAGACTAAATTTAATGGTAGTGAGTTCTCTGTCAAGGGAAGCATGTAAGCCCAGGCTATTACATATTGTTAACTATTCCTAAGTCAGGTGAGGTTTAATCTGAGTGCCCATTAACATTCCTTTGAACTTTGGAATAGAGGGATGATCAAAATTGTTACTTTTGCCACTGACTTTCTGGCAATTAAGAATGATTGCATTTGAGCCCTAGCTGGTTTGGCTCAGTGGATAGTGTCAGCCGGGTCCTGGGTTTGATTCCAGTCAAGGGCACATGCCGGGGTTGCAGACTCAACCCTCAGTAGGGACTGTGCTGGAGGCAGCCAATTGATGATTCTTTCTCATCACTGATGTTTCTCTCTCTCTCTCCCTCTCCCTTCCTCTCTGAAATCAATAAAAAAATATTTAAAAAAAAAGAATGATTGCATTTTAGGTCATTATCCCCCAAATAAATTGCCTGAATGTTGTTATTATAGCACTGCAGTAAACTGCTGGGGTTATTTCATTGCCTCAGACCAATTCCAAATTTACTTCCAAGACTTTAATAGATCTTGAGTGTCTCCCTCACAAAGATGTTGGATTCTAAGAGACCTTTCGAATGGCTTCCTAGGGTCCCTCCCCTCCCAGGATACATGTGTATGTGGAAGGTTACACACATCATGAGAGATGGCTGTGTGAACGGAGAGGGCTGAAGCAACCGTGCAGAGGAGCCACGTTTGTCCAGAGGGTAGAAATGTACGGACAGCAGCCAGCCATATCTCTCCATCAGTTGATTTTTTTGCCTTTCTTTTTTTTCTTTCCCCCTCTCAGCCGTTTAATGTGAGTGCTTCTGTCCCGCTTCGTTTATTTCAGATGCCTCAGGAACAGTACACACACCACCGGAGCACCATGCCCAGCTCCGGGGGGCCACAGGTGTACAAAGTGGGGATTTACGGCTGGCGGAAAAGATGCCTGTATTTCTTTGTCCTGCTGCTGATGATTTTAATACTGGTGAACTTGGCCATGACCATCTGGATTCTCAAAGTCATGAACTTCACAATCGTAAGTAAAGCCACCCAAATTTCTTTACCTCTCCTTGTGGGGGAGGGACCTGTGGGGCGAGGAGGAACATAGGAAAGCGGCGATCATAGGATTCAAAATGCCCGGCAACCTGGTGTCTTGGTTAAAAAAAAAAAAAAAAAATTCTGTTCAAATGACAAGGGAGGATGGACTTCTATCTCCTCTCAGTTCCTCGGGAGCTGGTTATCCAGTTTAGAGGCATCTCCTCCTTTACGGCCTCCTGTATGCATTCGCTCATTCTGATAACTATTCTGTTTTCTGTAGTTTACAAGCACTTTGAGTAAATGATGCAGGAGGAAATATGGGATAAATTCAAAGTGTTAAGTTTTCCTTAATTTTAGTAATGATTATGAAAGGGTTTGTGAGGTAGAAGGTTGAAACATTGGGAGGAAATTAGACTTTGGGGATTATCTAAGAATTTTAAGGGTTTGTACCAGGTATCCCATTACTATGGTTAATCGGGAGTCTCCTTGATGTTTTGGGAGGGCATTCTCTTTGCCACCACCAGGGTGAGAAGGAAATAAGAGGAACAGAGCAATGTTTCATTTTTTAAGAACTTATTGTTTATGCTGCTTTGAAAGAAATTTTGCTGTTGGTACTTGGGCCACTCTACTGATTGAATATTCACTTGTTGAAGTTCAAATTAAAAGAAAATCTTGGCAAAATCATTTCTGAAGTTATTCTGAGGTGGTGTGTTTTGTTTTGTTTTTCCTAGAGATTTCCTGGCCATTCTAGCAAGATAAGTAATGTATTCGTGAGGGCACAAAGGGCACCAGTCGGCTGCCCTTAGAATCCTTTCTTGTGATGTCCAAAGTCTAATTAGATTGGCAAAAAAATAAATCTCATTTGGTAAAGCAAAGTGACCATAACACAATGGACAGTCAGGTTTGCATGTGACATTCCCTAATAGGAGAGTGGATATTTGCCTTTTCTGATTGATCAAGGTCCTTTTTATCCTTAACATGCTACGGGCAGTCACACTCCCTGGCCTGGGCAGTAACTTCTGCTTCAGCTGCTTTTCCTGTCTTCCCTGCCTCCTGGAACCTTTCCTGGGGCCCCTCAGCTCCTTTCTGCATCTGTTATTCTACTTATCACTCTGGCTAATAATTTTTGCATGTGTTTCCCACGCAGACTGAACTTTGAGAAGAGCAAGGGCTGCCTTTTTCTCTGGGTGCCTTTATTCATCACGAATGGAAGGGTTGCATGGTGCTTAATTAGGACTTAATTAGGACCCCATAAACCAAGGTCAGAGACACTGCTTCAGGCATCAGAATGGTTCACTCTAATGCTTGTCGTTAAAGCTAGGAAACTATCTGATAAAAAGAGTTACCTTGATTTTACACATTTCTTTCTTGAGGAGGAAAAAATAGTTCAATTCTTTGAAAAACAGAGAAAGTCTTGTAACATGAAGTTTGGAAGAGGATATGGGTCAGTGTCCATGGGGTTGTAGGCGTTCAAGGTCATTTACTCTGGACTAGGGGAGCACATTAGCTTCTGTTTCTGAATTAGACGCGGCAGACACTTTGTGAACTTGGACTTACTTTCTTTACAGACAAGGAGAATTCAGAGAAGGGTTTTAAGCAGACGAGAGAGATGTGATCAGATTTGTGGTCTAGATGCTTGCTCAGGGGAGGATGCAATATAATGGGGGGATTTTCTCAGAGTTTAGGGCTCTGAAGACCAAGTCCTGGGTCCACTTGTTCTTAAGTCTTTGTGCCTGTAATTGCCAATTGTTGATGTTCATGTTCTGCGGGGTTTTGATTTTGAGGTTTACCAACTTGTAAAATGGCAAAGCTTCTGAATTGCCATATTAAATAAGGGAGGCCTGAAGGTCGGGTAGGAGAATGGACAATAAAGACTCAAAAGACATTTAAAGGGATGGCATTGACACATCTGACCATATACTAGTTGGAGGTAGGAGCTGAGGTATTGGAAGACATTCTGGAATTCTCCCAGGTTGTGGCTGCTGAGATGGTTGGCTCATGGGACCCCCCAAAAAACAGGATAGAATGCCTTACCTTCCCCCTGGAGCTGCGCTGAAACTCCTATATGCCCTGAACTCCCTATTTGGGGCTATTTTTGTTATTTGTACCTAGTTTGACATGAAGTTAATTTATAGAGCCTGAAAGACTTAGGAGTGAGTGTGGCGAATATGAACTCAAACGCTGATAAATGTGATATTATACTAATGTGGCTTTTGAAGTGTGTTTAATCTGGCCAGCCTAATAATGAGAGGTCCATGCAAATGTAAATTGAGTGACAATTCATTCTGAGAGTGTGTGAACTTAGGGAGTAATACGACATTAAAGTAATAATCTATATGAAATAGGCTATTCCCCATAGTTAAGGAAATTGATTGCCAAAGTTGAGAGTTCTTAGAGCTTTACTAAACCAAGTACTTACTGGGGTGAGAATAATGCCATTATTAGCTATAATCAGTGCTTTATAACAGTAATGCATTTGTGCAAATAGAGCTGAAGTGTCGGAAAATTGGTCTTTCCCTGCAACTTCAGAGCATATGTTCCCATCCATCACAGTGTAAAACATATCCTTTTAGAATTATAATTCTATTCCACAAATAATCATTTAGTACTGATCGTGAAGATCTTAAAAATGAAGGAGGTATTAACCAGTGTTATATTGGAGCAAAGGAAAACAACGAGATGACAGTTCAGCGTTTTCAGCAGGGATTTAAAAATATTGCCAATAGAAAAGAGTGGTCATTTTGTACTTCTGGAGTATTCAATAATTTGGGACTTGGGAAAGCTCACTCTCTCATCAAACCCTCTGAGTAACAATGAACCAAGAGAATGATGTCATCTGACCGTGTTCGTGAGGACTTGGCAATGTACCCAAGATCGGATATCCAGAATTTTCTGTCGTCAGGCTTGCATTCCGTGTCATCCCCAAGGATGTATGCTGGAAGACTCCTTCCATTATAACCGTCTGGACAAACATCCAACCAAGTTTTCTTTGTCCCAGATGTAAGTCAGAAGAAAAATGAGGTTGTTCTCCTGGGCTCTTAACAGGATACTGTGGTGTTCATTTTGAGGCAGGAGAGCAAGGATGCACTTTTCTGCTCAGTTTTCCCCCATGTGGGGGAGTGTGTGGTTTATTATATTGTAAACACCCATAAGTCGGCCCATCCTAGTTCAGCACAGCCTGTGCTGTTTAGAGGAACTAATATTTATTACACTTCTGTTCTGTGCAGGTCACTGTGCTTGGCATTTAAAATATCTCATTTAAATGTCAAAACAACTCTACAGATGAGGGATTATTATCTCCATGGTAGTAAAGGAAACCAGGGCTCAGAGAAGTGGTTGACTTCCTGAAAGATTCACAGCGAGTAAGTCAAAGAACTGGTGCTTGGCTTCAAAACTCAAGCCTTCCCACCATACTGCACCCCTCCCCCCAATTGCCACAATGATCTGGCTCCTCAACTAAACTCCGAAGCTGGCAAAATCGTCCGTTGTCTTTGTTGCCCACCTGTGTCACCCAATCACAAATGTCTTTCCCACCTGAGGAATCCACGGGCATGTCCTGCCTAGAGTAGTTTCCTGGTCTTTCTGAATGTTCAGTCCTTAATCTCACTTCTCCTCGCCCCGTAGCTGATGATTTCTGTCTTTCCACTGTCTCCACCTTCTGTTCTATCAACTTGTTGTGTTAATGTGAACATTTAATGTAAGCTTAATATTAATATCTGTGTGTTAGGCTGGTGTGATAGCTGTCAGGTAATTCACGATAAGCATTTACAGCAGCCTCTGACGCAGAGGAAGACTCAAAAGTTGGCAACAGAAAGTCACGAGCCAGCCTACACCATAGCGTAGTGGTTAAGGGCTCAGACTCCAGAGACAGATGTCCTAGCTACAAACTTGCTTTCTGCTACTTTGGCAAGTTTCTCGACCTCTCTATGCTGCAATCTTCTGGGAGTAATAGCAATACCTACCTATTCATAGGATGGATATAAAATGTAAATGAGGTAATGAATGCAAAGTGCTTGGAATGGAGCCTGGCGCATAGTAGGTGCTTTCTGTGGCGTATTTGCTCCCATCATCGTCATCAGTTATTGAAGGCTCATTTGGGGCCAGGCACTATGCTATTGCCATTGATAAGCATCACCAAACCTAATCCTCAGGCAGATAGGCGCTGTGAGGAGACCAGCTTCACATGGCAGGAGAGAGGCTCAGCGTCTTGATTTGAGGTCTCCCGCTCTACCGTGGTACAGTAGAGATTGGAATCTCAGCGGTCTGATTCTGGAGCCTGGTCTGTTAGCCAGTTTGATAAATTGTGGGCAGTGCAGAAAGCCCCAGCATGAGTGTCAGGGAACTGGTTGCCGAGGCAGCCGTGAACTACGTCACCTTGTTCCTCTGGGGCTCCGTATAGAAATGAATGTGTTGACCTAGGTGCCCTTTCAGACTGTAAGGCATCTTCCTGTTAGGACACTATGGTTTAGTCTTTGGGGCTCTGCCTTGACTGAGTGAGAGCTTCTGCTTCTGCCAATGCATTCTAGCAGCCCAGTCCAAAGAACTTGACCTTGAAGACCTCTCCAAATACTATAGTATTGATCATCCATATCATCATTTAGTATAAGTGATTAATAAGTGGCAAAACGTAAAAGGCATGGGAACTATGAATAGGTGGCGTGATCTGTTAGGCCAGTGAGTGTGGAATCATTTGTTGTTAGATGAACTAGGAGCCTGAGCAGTCACCTCATTGGAAATCCTCATTTTGCCCAGGACTGAAGCAAAGTAAATAGACAGCAAGGTTGCCTGACCCAGCTTCAGCACCCCAACCACCCTGGGAACTTCTCAGGAGCAGGCATTGTGTTCTCTTCACTTTGTAGCCCCAACCTAGTGCCTGGTATTCGGTTGGCTTTCTGCGTGTGTGTCAGTTGCCTTTGTGCAGACAACATACATCAAATAATGGATGTCAAGCATCTGGTCAGTGTCGGACACATGGTAGTTCCTCAGTAAAGTGTAGCT